GAGGAGGAGGAGGAGGAGGAGGAGATGATTGTGGGGGGTTTTGTGCTCTCTGACCTTGGTGGTTTTCTTGTGGACGTTTTATTACCAAACTAGGTAACATTATCAGTGCTAGAAGGGAGTAGAGTTTTGCAAAAAGGAGGAGGAGGAGGAGGACTGTGGGGTCCTTGGTGCTCTCTGAGCTTGGTTGTTTTCTTGCAGACATTTTATTACCCAACTAGGTAACATCATCAGTGCTGAAAGGGTTTGCAGAGAGGAGGAGGAGCCCGGAGGGAGAGTGGTACCGGGAGAGGATAAGGAAGAGTGTGAGGAAGACTGGGGCATGCTTGGCGGTCTCCGATGTTGGCGGTTTTATTGCAGGCTGATGATGCGAGCACTGATGACATTGCCTAGTTTGGTAATGAAACATCTGCGAGAAACCCCTAAGCTGGCTATTAGCCGGCTGGGGAATTCTGGGAGTTGAAAGTCCACTCAACCATGTTTCTAAGGTTGAGAACCATGGTTCTACAGTTCCCTGTCTTTTTCTCTTTGTTTTAAACCTTTCAACCGTGGTAAGCCACCTAGATTTGCTGGGAATCAGGCCGCATATAAATGTAATAAACTATTACGGTGGGTTGTCCTGCCAGCCAGGTGTGTAGGCTGGATTGGGCCGTTTTGTCCACCTCTCGAGTCCTCCCCAAGGACTTTGGGATAGGCAGATGTTGATGGTGGACAGTGTTAGAGGTCTCGTCGCAGGATGTAAGCTGTCCCGAGTTAAAGCTGCCTTTTGCAATTGACCGATGGGGATTTCGTCAATGACGATGGGGTTCAAGTGGTGAGCCAAGTGTTGTGGGGGGTGCATGAAGGGAGGCTCAGCCAATCTCATTGTACACATGTTGTACTCTGACAATAAAGGCAATAATAATAATAATAATTAATAATAATTAATAATAATAATAATAATAATAATAATAATAATAATAATAATAATAATAATAATAATAATAATAATAATAATAATAATTCTATTTCTGTTTGCACTGCAAGCGCCCTCGGTTTTCTGGATGGGAGAAACAGACAGAATGTGGAATTGGAGGAACAGCAGCGCCCCCTTGTGATGGCTCTCGGAATGTCACCATCAAAGTCATTGAGAAGAGCCAACGTTGAGGGACGTGGTTGTAGAGGGCCACCCTGTCCAGAGGGGAGGGACAATTTCTCCCTCTGGGCCAGAATTGTCTCCCTTAAGTGGCAGGACCTGGTTTTAAACAACTGGAGTTGTCTTAACTGAAGCGGTTGGGAACTGCCAGGAAAGGCTTTTGGTGCAAGGCGTCTTTGCTTTTGTGGAAATAAATCCACAGTGTGTTGCTCCTGCCTGACTTCTCCTGAACTCAGGGCAAGGTGGAGGGAAGACTCTCTCCGGTGGATTTTTCTTCCGCCGTGCAGTTTTAAGACGGCTGGACTTCAACGCCCAGAATTCCCTCAGCCAGCAGAATGAGAAATGGTGCCGCATAGAGTAGGTTGCCTGTCTCGTGAACCACTTCCTTCTTTGTGGCTTTGCGCACCGGGGGAGTTATTTTTTCCTTGTTTATTTTCAGATCTTAGTGGTGCTCCTCCTGCAAAGTTTTGCGTGGCTTTGGTCCGAAGTATTGCAAGGAGGGGTTGTTTCGTTGCCTTCTGAAGTGGGAACGGGTCAATGCGCAGGAGTGAATTTATGAGTTCATGGTTTCATCTCAAAGTCTGTTTCCTTAGAAAAGGATATTTGTAGCTGCAGGGGTGAACTGTGGGGTGCTTGATGCTTTCTGAGCTTGGTGGTTTTCTTGCAGACGTCACATGACCCAACTAGGGAACATCCTCAGTGATACAAGGCAGTGGGGCTTGTGAAGAGGAGGAGGAGGAGGAGGAGGAGGAGGAGGAAAATAATGACTGTGGGGTCCTTGGTGCTCTCTGAGCTTGGTGGTTTTCTTGCAGACGTCACATGACCCAACTAGGGAACATCATCAGTACTGGTCTGCAAGAAAACCACCAACCTCAATACCAAGGACACTACAGTCCTCCTCCTCCTCCTCTTCCTCCTCCCCCCTCCCAAAACCCACTCCCTTCCAACACTGATGATGTTAGCTAGTTGAGTAATGAAATGTCTGCAAGGAAATCACCAAGCTCAGAGAGCATCAAGGACCCCACAGTCGTCCTGCCCCCTCCCCCTCCCCCTCCCAAACCCCCCTCCCTTCCAATACTGATGATGTTATCTACTTGGCTAATAAAACGTCTGCAAGAAAACCACCAAGGCTCCCACAGTTCAACCCCCCCCCCCCCCCCCCCGTGCTATAAATATTCTCTTTTAAAATCTAGGTGGCTGCAACTTAAATTTTTCTTTAGGTAGCATTGGGAAACTCCTGGTGAAAAGAGGATTGTTCTCATGGTTCTTATTTTCTTACCTTTTAACCATCTGTGCACAACGGCCTGGTTCCCTGGAGTTGAGGGATGACTCTGGGATCCAGCCGTCCTGCCAGAGGCTCGTAAAAAGAAAGCACTGATTTCGAATCTCTTGTTTGCAGCTTTAACATCTGCCCCCAGAACTGCTCTGGCAGAGGGGAATGTCGGCCTGTCAATGGCAGCCAAGCAGTGGAATGTGAGTGTTGGGAACATTGGAAAGGAGAGGCCTGTGATATTCCCAACTGCCCGGAAGACTGTGGCTTTTCGGAAAGGGGTCAGTGCAGCGTGAACGGAACTCAGGGCTGCGTCTGTTACCCCGGTTGGCAAGGTAGGTTTAAAAACACACACACCCTGATTTGCACCGCTGGGCATTGGATGCCACGAGAGGCTTCGAACTGCATTTCCATCGCTTTTCTAACCAACTATTTATACTTCCATCACAGCATGTCGTAGGACAGGGGTGTCAAACTCGATTTCATTGAGGGCCGCATCAAGGGTTGTGTTTGACCTCGGGGATGGGTGGGTGGGGGGCCAGGGTGGGTGTGGTCAGCTCGATGTCACTCGTGTTGGGGACGCCTGTGGCGACACCAGCCTTTTGGCAGCAAAAATGTGCTCCCAAGCTCCGTTTTCAGCTGCGACCGCTTCTGTTGTGGTTCGCCGGCAGTCTGTGCAGCCGGCAGCGGAATCGGACAGTGGGGAAGTACGGGGACCAGTCTGAGAGTCTGGGGAGGACTTGGACGAGGGTCCTGCGTACGATGCAGAGATGGGGCCAGGACCATCTGGGAGGGGGGTGCTGCCTCCAGAGCCTTCGGAGTCTGGCAGCAGTGAGGAAGAGGAACAAGGGGAGCCTGTTCCCAGTGCGCGTGTGCGCAGAGCTGCTAGAAGGCAAGAGCAGCTGAGATAAAAGGGGAAACTTGGGAGTAAGTCTGGGAGGTGATGGCCCCTCCCCTAAGGGATAAAAGTCAGGCCAAGATGATGAAACCTTTGCAGGAAGCAAAGTCATTCGTTCGCTTCAGATTCATTCTGGAAGCTCTTTGTACTTCATTTAGTGTTTTTTTCTAGTTCATTTGATACTTCCGTTATTGGCAGCACTTCACAGAAAAGAAAGGTGGGGTGCTGATCTCGAGGGACTGTTTTGAGATTCATTGCCGCTTGGAATGAAAACAGTTCCCAGCGTTGCAATAAAATAAGACTTGTTTTTAAAATAAACCCATGCGTAATTACAGTCTAGGAAGTCTTGGTCAGAACAGCTTCCTGTAAACTTCTGCCAGTGAGAACGGAGTTCTGCAAACTTCTGCCAGTGAGCGCCACTTTCGCTGGCAGAAGCACCGCAGACCAGTCCTTCACTGTTTCCAGGGAAATGGCTTTCTACCCGGAAAAGCTCACCGGAAGCACTTTTTCATCAAAAAAAGATGGCGGTGCCCAGCAAGCCAGCGGCCCGGTAGGACTTGTTCTGCGGACCGGTACCGGTCCGCGGACCGGTGGTTGGGGACCCCTGGTTTAACAGATAGATATTAAATATAATAAAGACATATATCGCCATTGGATGAAAGAATAACAGTTTTATCTGTTTTTTAACAGTTTACTAAAAGCTACTTTTGTGAGCTGGCAAGGTATAGGTCTGTGGCGACGAATCTATTGCACGTGTGCCACAAATGGCACGCAGAACCATTTCTGGGGGCACGCGAGCCCCAGCCAAACTTACCTGCACTGCGCATGTGCGTGCCCCTCCCGGCTGATTTTCGGCCCGTTTGAGACCGTTTCACCCTCCCGGAGGCTCGAGGGGAAGCCTCTGCAGCCTTGGGAGGCCAAAAAACGGGCCTTCCCGGAAATACCAGAATTGCCAAAACGGGCCCATTTTTCGGCCTCCCAAGGCTGCAGAGGCTTCCCTCGAGCCTACGGGAGGCCGGAAAAGGCCTCCAACAGGCTGATAATCAACTGGTAGGGGCATGCACACGCACAGTGCAGGTAAGGGGGCGGGGTGGGGGTTTTGTGTGTGCATGCACAGGGGTGGATGCATTGTGAGTGCCGGCACGCTCATGCTTTTGGCACACCACAACAAAAAAGGTTCACCATCACCGGTGTAGGTAGTCCTCAACTTACAACAGTTGGTTTTGTGACTGTTTGAAGCAACAGGGGCACTGGAAAAAAAACATCCCTTATGACCAGTTTTCACACTTGCGACCATTGTAGAAACCCTGTGGTCATACGATTAAAAATCCAGACTCTTGGCAACTGACTCATATTTGTGACGGTTGCATTGTCCCGAGGTCACATGATCTCCATTGGCAACCTTCTAACCAACAAAACTAAAATCGGGAAGTCTGATTCACTTAACAACCGTGTTGCTAACTGAACAGCTCCAGATTCACTTAACAACCGGGGGCGTAAAATGAGGCAAAACTCATTTCACAGCTGAAATTTGGGGCTCGCTTGTAGTCGTAAGTCGAGGACTATCTGTACAGTGCTCCATTAAGTTACCCGAGGTTGTAACGGACGGCGTGTTTTGCTCCCTGTAGGCGTCGACTGCTCAGTTCCCGTTCCAGCCAATCGCTCCTTTTGGACCCGGGAGGAATTCTATATCCCCAAACTCCCACGAGCGTCTCACAAAGCCGTGGTGCAAGGCAACCTCATGTGGGTGATCGGTGGCTACATGTTCAACCACACGGACTCTCAGATGGTCTTGGCGTGAGTAACAGGACTTTTCTTCCGGATAGATGTTAAGCGGGGAACGAAATGTAAATTTCTGCAGATTAAATCCAGCAAGGTCTCTACACTAGAAGTAGGTGTGATGACCCAAAGGGGTGTGGCACAAAAGCAACACAGTCAGATAATCAGTAGGAGTCCCTTTATTATCTCCAACTTTGCCCCCAATGTCCCGGTTACTTTCTGGGCTGGAGAAAAACACTCCCAGGAACAGCCTTTGGCTGCAGGGAATCAAGTCCAAAACGTGGTCAACAAAAACTGTAACTATAAGTTTAATCAAGGCAGAATGAGGTCATTAGTCCAGCAGGGCAGGGGAAGGAATTCCAGATGTGAAGGAACGGGAATAACTGAACACGGTTGGGAAGACACCAGGAACACAGATAAGCAAAGTCAACACAAGATAAACTCATGTTTGTTCCCAGCAGCTGCTGCTCTCAGCGTGCATTTTTAAACTCTCTTCCCAGGTGTGCTTAATGAAGGGAATCAGGGCCCTTTCCTCCCCCGTAAGCCATGCAACCTATGTTGCTCCCTTCTCCGTTCTTCCCTGCATGCCCTAGGATGAAGAGGGGGTGGGTCTGGGTCTTCCTCTGAACCCCCTCTCCCTTGTTCTCCCTCTTCCCTGCTCTTTCCAGCTGGACTGCCCTTCCCCAGTTTCCTCCACAGCCAGCGGAGCCACACTCCCGCTCCCTGTCAGCTGTTCGTCTTCCTCCTTGGACAGGAATGTGACAATAGGCTTTTTTTAGTGTGAATTTCTAACACCTTTGAGAAGACTTAAGCTCGTAAAAGCTAGACAGGTCAAGAATTCTTGGTGTTTCAGAGACACGTGAGCCGTAGCGGCGCAGTGGTTAAAGTGCAGTATTGCAGGCTAACTCTGCCCACTGCCAGCAGTTCGATCCTGATGGACTTAATTTTGATTGAGTCTTCCGTCCTTCTGGGTTTGGTAAAATGAGGACCCAGATACTTGGGGATAAGAGGCTGACTCTGTAAACCACTTAGAGAGGACTGTAAAACACGGTGAAGCGGTATACAAGTCTAAGGGCGATTGCTATTCCTACGTGGTTGACTATACAGTCATGTGGGTTTCTCAGCAATTGTATGAATGGAGGACTTCTTCAAAGATTGACTGATTACTGGGAGTTATAAAGTAAAGATAAATAGCAATAGCCCTTGGACTTCTATGCCGCTTCACAGTGCTTTCCCGCCCTCTCTAAGCGGTTTACAGGGTCAGCATTTTACTCCCCCAACAGTCTCCACTGTTCCTTCCAGCGGGTGAACATTTTTCTCATCCAACGTGTGCGATTTAAAAAAAAAAAAAAAAAAACTCTTGTGTTCTGCCTCATGAGTGCTGAATATGGTAATTTAAAAATGGATCATTGATTATTTTGTCCCTGGTGGGGTTTTTCTCTCTCTTTGGGTGGTTATTTTGTCTGGGTGAACTGCGTTAATTTTGTTTTCTTAGAGAAGGAAACTGGGGTATGTCACCTTGTATTCTACATTAAATTATGTCAGTGTTTGACAAATTCACTTTCCTGACTGAGGGAATCTTTGGTGCTGTCTGACCTCAAACTAAGGGATATCATCGGGGCTAGTAAGGAGTGGGGTTTGCTCTCAATTTACATGCTAGTGTCTTGTCAACCTCAGAGAGCATTGTCTCCTCCTCCCCTCCTCTCCTCCTCCTCCTCCACTTCTCCTCCTCCTCCTCCTCCTCCTCCTCCTCCTCCATCATTCCACAAACGCCCCTTCCTTCTGGCACTGATGATGTTACCTAGCTGGGTCGTGAAGAACCACAAAGCTCAGAGAACACCAAGGACCCCACAGCTCAACCCCTGAGCTATAAATATTGTCCTTTGTTAATTTTCGGAGTCTTTAAGGATTTTCTGAAAACGACACCGCGGTAAAGAAAACCCATCTGTTTACGGCTTCTGTATGTAGATCCCTAATTCTTCTAGCTGCTTATTTTTCGGCTCCCTCGGACAATTTCCAAGAGGGGAGGATGTGAGGTTGCTGCTAAGCCAATGGAGTGGAGCTGCCCTCCTGCTTCCATTGTTCCCTCCGTGAATAGTTTTTGAGCGTTAGTGCAAAACGGTTTCTTTGCTATATATATATATATATAAAAAGCAGTATAGCCCATACCTAAATCAGCTTTGCTTTTATTGACATAGCAGACATTCATCCATAAAATATCTCCTGCCTTTTTCCCCTCCTGCCTTCCTTTGTTTTTCTTCTTTGAGAACAGCGGCTTTGTTCTCCCATGCGAAAGGAGTCAGGCGTTGTGTTTTGTCCCTTTTATCGCACAGGTATAACCTGGAGTCCAGAGAATGGATGAGCCTGGGCAGTAGCGTGAACACCGTGGGGATCAGATATGGGCATTCAATAGCCTTACACGAAGTAAGTGGCTTTTTTATTTTTATTTCTTTGCGTTCCTGAAACTTTTCTAATTTGGCTGGGATACCAAACCCTGGCTTAGAGGAAAACGGCACAGGAAGTCCTCGAGTGATGTGGCTTTAGTGACCGTTGGGAGTCAACTGTCAACACAAGATAAACTCATGTTTGTTCCCGGCAGACGCCGCTCTCAACTTGCTTCTCTTTTAAACTCTCTTCCCAGCTGTGGCTAATGAAGGGAATCAGGGCCCTTTCCTCCCCCGTAAGCCACCCAACCCATGTTGCTCCCTTCTCCGTTCCTCCCTGCATGCCCTAGGATGAAGAGGGGGTGGGCCTGGGTTTTCCTCTGAAATCCATCTCCCTTGTTCTCCCTCTCCCCTGCTCTGCCCAGCTGGACTTTGCCCTTCCCCAGTTTCCTCCACAGCCAACGGAGCCACACTCCCACTCCCTGTCAGCTGTACGTCTTCCTCTTCTTCGGATTCAGACTCTGACGGGGGCGTGACAGTAACCCTAACACGTCCATCCGTGCCCTCTCTCTGTTTCTTCTAGAACAAAATCTACATGTACGGAGGCAAGATCGACGAAACCGGCAACGTAACCACAGAGCTCTGGGTCTTCCACATCTCCAACCATTCCTGGGTCCCCCTGTCGCCAAAGGCCAAGGAGCAGTACGCCGTGGTGGGCCACTCCGCCCACATAGTCACCCTGCAGGACGGCGCGGCGGTGATGCTGGTGCTCTTTGGGCATTGCCCTCTTTACGGCTATATCAGCAACGTGCAGGAGTACAATCTCGGTGAGCGTCGTCCGGTCGTGACTTTCACTCTTGTGTAAAATAGCAGAATGACAGAGGTGGGAGGGACCTTGGAGGTCTTCTAGTCCAGCCCCCTGCCCAGGCAGGAAACTCCATACCATTTCAGTCTCGTCTCGAAAACCTCCAGGGTTGGAGCGCCCGTGACTTCTAGTGGCAAGCTGTTCCACTGATTAATTGTTCTCCCTGTTAGGAAGTTTCTCCTTAGTTCCAGGTTGCTTCGCTCCTTGGTTAGACTTAGGATAACTTTATTGTCACTTTGAATGTACGCTAATTGGCGTATATTAAAATGAGATTTCATTGCACAGAGTTCTCAAAGGGTTACCACCTCCAATAAACACGACATAAACACGACA